CACTTCTGACTGCAAGCTTTCCTCTTTATACCCCCCGCCCCGCCCCCCACACACAAAGAGCTGGCCTTTCTGAGTCAGCTTATAAAACCCAGCCTTTAAGACAGCAGTCCCCAACCTTTTCGGCACCAGGGACCAGTTTTGTGGAAGACCTGGGGAGGGGTGTGGTGCAGGGGATGGTTTTGGGGTGATTCAAGTGCATTACATACAAGCTTACCTTGTGCTGTGCAGCCAGGTCCCCAAGGGTACCTACCGGTCAGCTGCCCTGAGGTTGGGGACCTCTGCTTTGAGGCACCGTTGGACTGGAAGCCAGGAGAGCTAAACTCTAATAGGGCTGGGAGCTAAGCTAGGAATGTAAAACAGGCTGAACCATTTCAAGACACTCTTAAAACATGCAAAAATGACCTTTATCATTCCAGAAATAATTCAGGAAGTCAAGTCTTGGAAGAAAGCTTCAGTCCTAACAATGAAATCTGTGAAAGGTATAGGAAATACAACACTTAAAAGATACCCTGCAAAGATTTCTTTTGGCTGACAACATTCAGTAGATTACGGCTGTGTCTGTGGTTATTTTTGTAGGTTAAGAGGAACCAAAAAAACTTATCTCAGTGCGTGTGTTCATTTCCCAACATTTATGGGACATGGCACCAGATTTGTCCTTGTTGCCATCTAACAATTCAAAGTCAACTCTACATCAGCCTTTCTAGCCTGTGGAATAAAGAAGCAGGGATTATAGGGAAGTGAGTGCTCTGGGCCACGCAGGGCTTTTCTTCCATTGCTTTGCAGTTTGGAAAGTTGCCATCCATTCATGTTTCACTCAAACAGGCTTTTTCCAGACCCCAGAACAAAATGTAGCCAGAAGCTCTGCTCTTTGTCAAGGAGGCAAATTGTAGCCCAGACTGAGCCAGAATCTTCCCTTCTCCCCTCAGAGAATAACTTTTATGTGTAGGAATCCTGGCTCTTCTTTACTTAGGGGATAGGATACAGCCCCAAAGTTCTGTCCAGAAAGACCCCAATTGTCCCAGGGTTTCTGTAGTGTTTTTACTGTTGTCCAGGCTATATCTGGATCCCTGGATATCACATCTTCCTAATATCAGTGATTTCAATGATTTCAATGTTTCTTTCTTTCCTCTTCAGCCACTGCAGTTTAGTAAAAGACCGTATTTTGCCAACTATAATGCACATCCACGTTTTTGGCCCAAACTTTCAGGAAAAAAACCTTTTGATTTTTTAGTTCAATATTTTATTTATTTACATTTAGAAACAAAGCTGATTATTGTATTCCAAGGTATTATTTTACATACAGATATCATGTTTGCTTTCTAGAGTTACACTTTTAATGCATAAGCATAAATAAAAGAATTAAAAACATTTATATAGCTAGGGAAGTAGTACTACCTATGTATAATGTACATCCTTATTTTTCCTTCAGAAATTTGGACAGAAAAGTGCTCATTACATTCAGCAAAATACAGTGGAATAAATCGGCTCCATCTCCATTGTTGGAGACCCCAGACAATTAACCATTTGAGAAGCTGAGCATAAGTTAAACATCTATGAACCCTCACAGGGTGTACCAAGTTTAATCCCTTGCACAGAAAATTAAAACCAGAGTTGGTGGTACCTATTTTGTGATTAGATATGCTTTCCTTTGTTAAGGGTCAACTTTCTATCCTTTTAAGGCAAAGAATCCCATTTAGGAACCATTGAAACAATCCTGTTGACTATAAAGAGGGTAATTCTATTATTGTTCAGTATCTTTAATGTGGTGGTGGTTGCACAACTGTATATGGGTGTTAAAACTATCAATGAAAAAGCTTGATTTTTACTGTACATAAATTATACCTTGATTAATAATATCAACAACAATTGGTTTAGTTACATGAAAAACATGTACAATAAAATACTAAAGCAGGGAAAAAATGGTTGCATCTATAAAGCTTATACATATATATAAATAATGAGGAGAAAATTAGGAGAATTTAAAACTGCATTTTGTTGAATGAGGAGATAATTTTCCCTTTTAAAAATTTCTCTAATTGATGCTATGAGTTTTGGAGCTGTAAATATGTTTTGTTTTTTATTTTTATTTTTCTACACACTTCTTTTTAAAAATTTTATTGAATTTATGGGAGTGACATTGGTTAATAAAATTTTATATAGATTTCAGGTGTACAATTCTAAATACATCATCTGTATATTGTATTGTGTGTTCACCACCCCATGTCAAGATTCCTTCCATCACCATTTATCCCCACTACCCTCTTCTACCTCCTGCCACCCTTTTCCTCCAGTAATCACCACACTCTTGTCTATGTCTATGAGGTTTTTCTTTCCTTTTTCTTTTTTCACTTATTCCCTTCACTTTTTTCACCTAGCCCCCCAACTCCCACTCCTCTGACAGTTGTCAATCTGTTCTCTTTGTCTATGAGTGTTTCTATTTTGTTAGTTTATTTTGTTCCTTAGGCTCCTATAAGTGAAATCATATGATACTTGTCTTTCTCTGAATGGTGTATTTCCCTTGGCGTAATATGATCCAGGGCCATCCATGCAGTCTCAAAAGCTAAGATTTCCTTCCTTTTTATGCCCAAGTAGCATTCCATTGTGTAAATGTACCATAGCTTTTTTACCCACTCATTTTCTGATGGGCACTTGGACTGTTTCCAAATCTTGGCTATTGTAAACAATGCTGCAATAAACACAGGGGTGCATATATCCTTTAGCATTTTTAGTGTTTCAGTTTTCTTAGGATATATTCCCAGAAATGGGATTGCTGGGTCAAAATGCAGTTCCATTTTTAATTTTTGGAGGTAATTGCTTTCCACAGTGGCTGCACTAATTTGCATCTCTACCGACAGTACCTGAGGGTTCCTTTTTCTGCATATCCTCACAACACTTGTTTATTGATTTATTGATGATAGCCATTCTTATAGGTATGAGGTGATATTTCATTGTGGTTTTAATTTGCATGTATCTGACAACTAGTGACATTGAGCATCTTTTCATATGTCTACTGGCTATCTGTATGTCCTCTTTGGAGAAGTGTTTGTTGAGGTCCTTTGCCCACTTTTAAGTTGAATTGTTTGTTTTTTTGGTGTTGACTTGTTTAAGTTCTTTATAAATTTGGGATATTAACTTCTTATCAGATGTATCATTGACGAATATGTTCTCTCATTCACTGGGGTATTTTTCCATTTTGTTGATGGTTTCCTTTGCTGTGTACAACCTTTTTACTTTAATGTAGTCCCATTTAAAATTTTTTTCCCTTTGTTTCCCTTGCCTGAGGAGATATATCAGAAAAAATATTACTATAAGATATGTCTGAGCTCTGGCTGGTATGGATCAGTGGATTGAGTGCCAGACTGGGAACAAAAGGGTAGCCAGTTTGATTTCCAGTCAGGGCACATGCCTGGGTTGCAGTCTACCTACTCAGTGAGGGGAGCGCAAGAGGCAACCACACATTGATGTTTTTCTCCCTCTCTTTCTCCTTCTCTTCCTCTCTCTCTAAAAATAAATTTTAAAACAAACTTTAAAAAAAAGATATGTCTGAAATTTTACTGCCTATATTTTCTTTTTGGATTTTTTTTATGGTTTCGAGTGTAACATTTAAGTCTTTTATCAATTTTGAGTTTATTCTTGTGTATGGTTTAAGAAGGTGGTCTAGTTTCGTTTTTTTGGTACATACCTGTCCAATTTTCCCACACCATTTATTGAGTGTACTGCTTTAACCTCATTGTATGTTCTTGCTTCTTTTATCAAATATTAATTCACTATAAAGGTGTGGGCTTGTTTCTGGGCTCTCTATTCTGTTCCATTAATGTATATTTTTATGCCAGTATCATGCTGTTTGATTATTACAGCCTTGCAGTGTAGTTTGATATCAGATAGTATGATTTTCCAACTTTGTTCTTTTTTCTCAAGATTGCTGAGGCTATCCCAGGCCTTTCGTGGTTTCATGTATGTTTCTGGAATATTCTAATTCTGTGAAATATGCCATTGGTATCTTGATAGGTATTGTGTTGACCCTTTAGATTGCTTTGGGTAGTATGGACATTTTAATGATGTTAATTTTTCCTGTCCATGAACATGGTATATGCTTCCACTTATTTGTATTTTCTTCAGTTTATTTCCTTAGTGTCTTATAATTTTGTGAATACAGGCCTTTTACATCCTTGGTTAAATTTATTACTTGGTACTTTTATTTTGACACAATTATGAATGGGATTATTTTCTTAACTTCCTTTTCTGATGATTAATTGGTTTAAAAAATGCAACTGATTACAGGATATTTATTTTGTATCCTACTACTTTACAGAATTCATTTTTCAGTTTTCGTAGTTTATTGGTGGAATATTTACAGTTCTCTGTAGAGTATCATGTCATCTGCAGTAAGTACTTTTTAAAGCTTAGATGAGTGTTTATTAAAATTTGTGGATCTGTACACTTAAAATTAGTTCAGTTTGTGCACTTTTATATTATACACTTAAGTTTTAAAAGAAGGCTTAAAGTTCTGGCTAGTGGTCACAAGAGTGTATAATCAAATTAAAAAATACTCATCCACTAAAATTTTGTGCAGTGTTCCATATGTTATATCTTAATAAGAAAAATACATAAAATGAAACTCTGTGCTGGCTTTGTCCGGGACTAGCGGCCAAAGCGGGCCGCATCTGTTCACTGACCCCAGAGAGGCTCCAGGACCACAGCAGATCCCCACAGGACGTGCTTCTGCGTGGCTTTCAGTCTGGGCGCCTACGTCTCTCTCCGCCGGTTTTAAGATCCTGAGCTAAGGCCCATAGCTTGTAGGCATCAGGGGTCTTCCAGCCCACTGGATAAAGCCATTGGCAATCCCACTTCTCCAGCCCCACAACCTGGCAGAAAATCAGGGCCTGGAGCCATCCTACCACTCCACTCCTCGTTGGCCGTACTGACGTCACCGCCCCGCCTCCCGGCCTCGCGCCGCCGTTCCCGCCCCGCCCCTTTCCCCCGGCTTGCACCGCGGTGAAGTCCCTCGCCCTCGGCTTCAGCCCGTCGCCCCAAGATGGCGGACACAATGAGCTGATATCGCGCCGGTTGCCCGTGAGCCTACCGTGAGGAGAAATGGTCGGCAAGGCCTTCACAGTCTAGGCAGGAGAACGTTGCACGAACAGGAGGAGGGAGAGGAGAAGGCGGCCCGACTGTCGGCCGCCCTCCCGTTCACCGCTAGTGCGGCACCCGCTCCTTCTGGGTCGGCCCCTCGGCAGCCCGCCCGCTCGTTCGCCCGCTCGTCGCGGGGCTCCGCCCCGGCCCTGCTCCGCTGCTGCCTCCTCCAGCAGCCGCCGCCATGAAGCTGACAGACGGCGTGCTGCGGAGCTTCCGCGTCGCCAAGGTGTTCCGTGAGAACTCGGACAAGATTAACTGCTTCGACTTCAGCCCTAACGGCGAGACGGTCATCTCAAGCAGCGACGACGACTCCATCGTGCTCTATGATTGCCAGGAGGGCAAGTGAGTGCGGCGGTGGCCCTGGGCCCGGATCTGAGTTCCTCCCTCCCTCTCTTGGTTCGCCCCGCGGCCGACTCCCCGCCTCGACTCCTGCCCCCGCCTTTTTTGCACTGGCTCCTGCCAAGGCCGCTTCCACTCCGAAGCCGTTCCGGAGATCTTTTCTTTTCTTTTTAAAAATACAGTAATGTTAGTATTGTTTTGTATGTCTTCGGTCTCTCCAAAGAGCGCTGGTACATCTCTTGCCAAACCCCACCTTGACCTTGACCTTTAAAGCGTCGGGTTTGCCCAACCCCCTCCCCAGGAGGTAGCTTTTCCGCCCCTCGTACTCTATCTGAGGTACCTGTCGGCAGAGCCTTTGTCGCTGAACCGCCGAGGCTGCTCTCCTGCCTCATCCAACAGTTCTCTGTGCCCTCTCGTAGGTGACCTCGATTGAGTCCTGGCATTCTGCCCATCCCCTGTCCCTCAGCTTCCCGCGGCCTTTCTGCCGGAGGGCCGCGTGGGTTGCAATTCTTAGGATTTATTTGTTGTGTTTCTTTGGGCCCCGTGACCTTTCGTTTCTGTTCCAAATCATGTTCTTACTCCTAAAGACGCGAGGACCCCGCTTATAAGTGAACTTTTTAGCAACATCTGAAACTTTTCCTTTTTGCCATACAAACGAATTTGGCTGTCCCATCCCGACCTGAATGTGAACCTCTCATTAGAACAAAGAAAACAGCGTATAACAATTTCGTGTTTCCTCTTATGCTTAAAAAAATTACACTTGTTGGTCTACTTGGAATTATCAAAATTCCGAGTGTAGTCTGATCGTGAAATTTTTACGTTGTCCCAAGTCCTCTGGAGACCCACCACACCTGCATCTCTGCAACATCTTGTAAGCATAGCATTTTTCACCTTTTCCCCTGGGGACCTTGTCAGTTCCACCTCACTCCTGTAGACTTGCTTTCTTTAAATCCTTGCTAAATTGTGAGTTTCTTTACAGCAGAAACTGGTTTACGCTAAATTTGATTTCCCTCCAGCCACCTTTTCCAAGCAGCCTTGCAGATGTTAGGTTTTGTCAGATTTCATTTTATTGCCTAGTTCCAGATCTTATTTTCGAATCTTTGGGTTTTTCCTTTATCTGCTCCAACTGTCCTTTTTGCGTTAAAAAAAGCCGATGTCTTCTATAAACTTTCTTTTGGAACTTGTCTCCTTGTTTGTGAGTTTAGTTATCTAAAGTAATTCTGTTTTGGTCTGAGCCATAATGTTCTCATTTTTTTTCTTCCACTGGGGCTATGAAAGGGTATTATGTAACTGGCTCTGGATCTGCCTGCAGTATGTGGGAGGGTTGCCTGTAGTGGTGGTCCTGGGGGAAGAGAATTTGCTGGTTGGATCAATGCTGAGTTACTTGAGTCAATTTAATTCATTTAGTGTATGGTTTGCTCTCCACATCTGGCTACTTTAATCAGCTTAGAAGAGAGAGTGACATATAAAGCTCTGGATGAGGGTCAGTTTGGGGGCCCTGGAACTAGAAGTAGTTTGAGGTTGGCTTACTTGAAATGTTCAGTGCTTGTGCACGGATTAGAACCTCTCCCTGGAACTTGAGAATGGATGTGTATAGCCTCATTCAAAGGAAATAAAGGCTGTGATAGTATTTCTTCCTGGTTTGTCTTGTAATTTCCACTTGTTGGGAGGGATGACAGTGACTTTAAATCCTGTCTTGTTAAAAGTAAAATGTTAATTTTATGATATACTGTCATTTATTCACTTATGTAGCATCATTATGTAATTATAAATTTACAGAAAAGTTTAGTGATCCAAAGAACTCCCATGTGGTTAAATAATTGGCTACATTTTGCCCTATTTGCTTATTCTCTATGTACATATTTATACATACGCATTTTCTGTTTTTTTTTAACATACACATTTTTTCTAAAAGTTGAAGATATCAGGTCCCTTTATCCCTAAGCATAGATCCCTACAACATGGTTTTTTACACATGAGAACATTTTCTTACATGAGTATAACCAGAGCATGGTTATCCAAAGTTGGAAATTTAATATTGATATAATAATGTCGGGCATGCTTTAAATTTTTTTCTCATCAAATAATTTTGATCTTGTTCTATTGTGATCTGTGGCAGAAGAGTGGTTTCATAGTTAGGAGACCTTGGTTCTAGTTTGGCTTTGTGACCAGGTGTGTGACATTGGTCAGATCACTTCTCTGGTTATTAGGTGACCTCTATCCTCTAGGAGTCCGTGGTCCTAAGTGGTAATGTGAAGAAAAAATTTGCCACTGGTGTTGGTTAAACCAATATTGGAAGAAAAGCCGTTTTTTTGTAAGGCATAGTATCTTTATTAGCTGGTGCTAATGATAGAATTTGGGAGTTTGAAAATGGCTAAAATAATATTCTTAATGTTTTCTAGTTTACTATTCACTTAAACTTTCATTATAATGGAGTTAATCCACTGAATGATTTTTCAACTTGATAATATGAAGGATATACTATCTGTGGTAGGTGATGCAAATTATTCCAAGAAAAGGCTTTAATATTATTTATTCATACTTGATTACCAGAATCATAGTTGGTGGAAAGGAGCTTGTTAAAATACTTGTGAAAAAATGTTCTAGGGCTTTGCAAAGATCCTCTGAAATGGATGCAATACATTAGAAAGTTGCTTTCAAACCAGGAAATGATATGTGGTAACAGATTGCTTTTATTAACAAAAACCCAGGTTAGTGTTACTGATAAATTTGAGGAAATAGGCTATATTTAAGTGGAGCTGAAAATATTCCTTATACCACACACACTTTAACATTGGCTCTTGAGGCTTTTCTGTTGTAGATAGACTGAAATACTGGTATAGGTAAGCTTCTCCTTTAACTGGTAGAGGCAAAGTTAATTTGAGAGCAAGCATATACACACACTCATACTCATTTACTTACTCACTGGTTACCACTATACAGTAGGTAACTAACCCAATGCACAACCCTGGTCAGAAGACTGCTAGGTAGCCTCTGAGCTGAACTGTTTAGTAGTAATGGTAGGAATGTAGAAAATCCAGTGCATTTGGAATGAGAAGTCTTGTTTGGAAATAGTTTTTATGTAGGAAAACCCTTAACCTCACTGACATTAACAAATATTGAAAATGCAAATATTTGAATTCTTAAAGCTACCAGAGTCATCTGACTGTTTAGCATCTATGCGCCAAGATGATTTTGCATTGATGACGCAGTGTAACTTCATAAATTGGAACTCTTGGCAAATACTGGTAAAGAATTTATGAAATCCACCTACATCTAAGTGTAGAACAGGGGTGTCAAACTCATTTTCACCGGGGGGCCACATCAGCCATGCAGTTGCTTCAAAGGGCGGAAACAATTTTGGGACTGTATAAATGTAATTCCTTAACTATTAATGAGTTGAAATTACATTTGACCCTTTGAAGACTGCCTCGAGGCTGATGTGGCCGCCGCCCCCGCCCCCCCCGTGAAAATGAGTTTGACACCTCCGTTGTAGAACATTATGAAGTTTTTGGTTAATGATTTTGCTGAGTTAGGTTTGAGCTTGGTCTTCAAGCTTCTATAGAGGAAGACATTTAAGGAACTTTAATGAATGGATTGATGTCCTCTACCTTGGAACTATGTGATTTTACATTAAAGTAAAAAGAAAACACCCAATGACTAGTTTTGCTAGGGAGAGTTAGGCTTGCCTTTCAAAAATTGCTCAGTAATTGCTTTTGACCTGCAGGATGGGGAGAATGGATAGCTTCTGCAACAGCAGGTTATATTAGGAATGGTAATCAGTAAGTTTTGGTCTCACTGGTTTGATGTATTTCCATATCGCTCTTGGTCATCAGGATGACTTATGTTGTTTTGTGTGCCTTTCTTCTCAAATAGATGTACTTTTTCTCAAAGCTGACGTTTGAACATTGTAGTAAAGACTGAATTGAGCCCTCAGATTTACTCTACATCCTAACCATGGCATTTGGTGTTCAGAGGTTAAAGGCTGTTGCACTTGATTGATTCCATTTGTTTTCTTCCCTTTTGGAAGAAATTCTGTGTATGTGTGGTTTTTTTTTTTTTTTCCCCCAGTGTTAGAGCTTACCAAGAATCCTCACCCTTGCCACATCATTCAAATGCTTTTCTCTTTATGAAAATCCCAGATTTTTCTGATGGAGGATTTTGATGGTTTTCTTTCTCTGTCCATTTCCTTATTAGACCAAAGAGAACCCTGTACAGTAAGAAATATGGCGTGGACCTCATCAGATACACTCATGCAGCAAACACAGTCGTTTACAGCTCTAACAAAATAGACGGTAAGCAATCCCTCTTTTTAGGAGTTACAGTCATGGTTTCCTTCATTGAATAATAGTTCACAGAATCTTTGTGACTACTTCTGTTTTGGTTATAGTTACTTTAAGTTAAATATTTTCCTATGATGTTAGCAATGCTAACATTGTTATGACTGAAAAGATGCTGGAGGCAAGCCACTAGTGCCTTTGAAGGATGCGAAACTGAGTATAAAAGGTCTTCTTCAGTTTAGAGTGGAAAGTGGAAATAGGAAGCAACAAATATGTATTTATGGTTTGTACTTCTTGAAACTTAAAACAATATTTTTAGAACAAATAAAAGGAAAGAATACTTGATGCACAGCAAGAGGTAAACAATAGTATCTCCTGTTCAAAATACTGAGGTTTGAGAAAAGTTTTCACAAATACTTAAGCTGTAATAGTTTAGGGGATGTTAGAAGAGTTTTGGTATATGCCAGTCTTTTATGATCTGTGCCATAAAGGACAGTATACTGACCTTGGTTATCTTTGATTATGGGGACATTTAATCTGAATTTTATCCTTTTTCCTTTTAAGTAAAGCTAATGTCTTTGAAGAGTAAAGAGTTATTTTTAGAAATTAAACTTGTGAATTTCTTTCTCTAATAAATGGTCTCTGTTTTTAACCTGCATTTCACCTGGGATAAAACAATCACACTTATTTTCATGTTAGGACTCCTTTTAAAAAAATTTAACTTTATCTCACTGATTTATTGATTGTTTCACTTTTATGTGGTAAGATTTTCCTAATGTCATTCAACAAAGATTGCTTAGACTGCTATTTTGGCTATGCCTGGCTCAGCTGATGGGCAGGAATTTTTTTTTTTTTTTCAATGAGACTTTTCTGCCTGCACTTGACTTTGAGTAAGTATATTATTTCCACTTTTCATGCCTCTGTTTCAGAAGTAGTTTTCTAAGTTACCATGCATTTGATGCTTTTGGACAAGAACATAAAACACTAGGTTCCTGAGGAACCATATCTGTTTGAGCATCTGCATGACTGGTATATTTCTTTTGTTGGGGTGTTTATTGGGTGATTGAGGATTGTCCAAATATGGTTCAAGAAGAGGCAATTGTGTGGCACTTGCAGCTTTGCTGCCAGGCCTCTGCTGTGAGGATGTTGCCTTTCCTGTCTCGAGTGCATCCTGAAGAGTTCTTCCAACGCTTCGTTTCCTTTTGCCTGATTCCAGGCTGAGGTAGTAGTTTGTACAGTTTGAGGGTCTATGATACCACCCGGTACAGGAGATAACTGTACAGGCCACTGCCTTGCCAGGAACAGCGCGCCAGCTACCGAGTGGGGCGGAGAGGATGGCGACGCCCTGCTCATCTCTGGGAAACCAGGTAATGGGGAGGAAGCCTTTTTGCTGCTTAGGGCAGGTGAGTAGCTCCTAGCAATGGAACAACTAGAAAGATTTTGTAGTTGTTATTCGAGAACTCTGAAGATGTATTCAAGGAAAACCATGTAGAGTTTAGTTTTGGAACAACCTTCTCCCAGGTTAAATGCCCTCTTATTAGAAAGTGAACTACTGGGGTGACTTGGTGCTTCAGTTTCTTTGTTCTTATGTTCTTTTTGCCTCCAGAATGTTCTTTATGCTTTCCTTTTTGTATTTTGTCATCATTTCCTATTACTCCTTTTTCAACAATTGTTCCTTGTTCATAGTGTTTTTAGGGGCATTGTATTTTTCCATGTCTGTTCTTTATGGCATTTCATTTTCTTCACACCAGTATTTTTTATTTTTTTCAGATGGAATCATTTGGTTTTTAAGAGTGTCTTATTTTACCCAAGCACAAATCTCTACAATTATTCCTTTTCTCAAAATAGTCAAAACCTCACTGTTATGATCTGTTGATATAGTTCATGAGTTTTGTTTTGAAACCTCTTGAGTTTTTGTTAAAAAGATTTTATTTATTTATGTTTAGAGAGAGGGGAAGGGAACGAGAAAGAGAGGGAGAGAAGCATCAATGTGTGGGTTGCCTCTCATGTGCCCCCTATTGGAGACTTGGCCTACAACCCAGGCATGTGCCCTGGGAATTGAACCTGTGACCCTTTAGTTCTTCCCCTGAGCCATTCCAGCCAGGCCTGTTGAGATCTTTTAAACCCAAGTTTTCTCACTTCTTTTGGCCACATTATTTTTAACTTACTGCTCTGATGCACAAGGGACCAGTGGGTAGTTGGTTAGTTAGAAAGGAAGTAGAATATTCTCTTTCCATTTTGTTTAGTTTCAGTGTAATTTGTATATCCAGTTAACATTCAGGTGAGGTCATTGGTCTGTAGGCTGTCAACTTAAGAACTCTGCTGTTGAATTATGTCAGATTTGTAGTACCCTCTCTTCAGCTGTGGAAGGAATCATTTACTATTTATTCATACTTTGCTTGGGTTATGGACAACAGTGAATTCTTTGACCTTATTTTTTCATTTTCATGAAAATGTAAATTTCTTAAAAAATAGTGGGGTATCATTGTGCCTTGTTTGTCTTCTTGCAGATACTATTCGTTACCTGTCTTTGCATGACAACAAATACATCAGATATTTTCCTGGACATAGCAAAAGGTAAGACCCAAGTGTTACAGCAGTTGATAGTTCTTTTATCCCTGAGGTTCCAGACAATAGAGGAATGGAGAGATTTTATCAGTGAACTAAAGTATTCTTCACTGCTGTTTGGAATTCCTCTTAGTCTTTTGTTAACCCCCACCCAATCAGCTCTTGATTAACCAGTTGTGGAGGCAGGGGTAGGACTTCATACATAAACTGAAACTACAATTAAAACATAATTAGGACAAAAGGTCAATTTAAGATATTCAGTGGAGACTTCTGGCCAAGATGGAGGCATAGGTAGACACACTATGCCTCCTCGCACAACCAAAATAAGAACAACAAAAATTTAGAAACAAAATAACAACCAGTACTGACAGAAAATTGAACTGTATGGAAGTCTGACAACCAAGGAGTTAAAGTAGGCACATTCATCTAGACCGGTAGGAGGGGTGGAGTGGGGCGGCCAGGCAGAGGGCTCACGGCGGGGTGGGCGGGCGGGGGGGGAGCAGTGGCTAGCAGAAACCGGGCATGAAGGCGGCAGTGGGCGGATCCAGCAAGGCAACGGATTATGGAGTGGCTTGGCGTGTACGGTGGCTTGTGGAACCAGGCAGTCCCACATTCTCACACAGATCAACCAGACGAAACTGGGGAGCGAGACAGACCGCTCAACCCAGGGCTGCAGTGCGAGGAAATAAAGCCTCAAAACACAGATTGAAAACACCTGTGGGTGTTGAGGTGCTGGGAGAGACTCCCAGTCTCACAGGAGAGTTTGTTGGAGAGACCCACAGGGTCCTAGAATGTACACAAACCCACCCATCCAGGAATCAGCACCAGAAGGGTCCAGTTTGCTTGGGGGAAGTTGGGGGAGTGACTGAAATCTGGCAGGGAGCAGAGCAAGTGCCATTGTCCCTCTCGGACCCCTCCCCCACATACAGCATCACAACCCAGTGACTGGGTTGCCCCGCCTCAGCGAACACCTAAAGTTCCACCCCTCATATGTAACAGGTGTGACAAGACAAAAAAAATGGCCCAAATGAAAGAACAGGTCAAAGCTCCAGAAAAATACAACTAAGCGACAAAGAGGTAGCCGACCTATTAGATGCACAATTCAAAGTACTGGTAATCAGGATGCTCACAGAATTGAATGAATTTGGTTGCAAATTAGATGAAAAAATGGAGGCTATGCTAAGTGAAATAAAGGAAAATGTTCCTACCAATAGTGACGGGAAGGAAACTGGGATCTCAGATTAATGGAGTGGACCAGAAGGAAGGAAGAAACAAGCATACAGAAAAGAATGAAGAAACAAGATTTCAAAAAAGCGAGGAGAAGCTTAGGAACCTTCAGGACATCTTTAAACGTTCCAACATCCGAATTAATAGGGGCACCAGAAGGAGAAGAGGAAGAGCAACAAGTGGAAAGGTTATTTGAACAAATAATAAAGGAGAACTTCCCCATTTTGGCAAAGGAAATAGATTTTCAAGAAGTCCAGGAAGCTCAGAGAGTCTCAAAGAAGTTGGACCCAAGGAGGAACACACCAAAGCACATCATCATTACATTAGCCAAGACTGAAATTAAGGAGAGAATCCTAGAGGCAGCAAGAGATAAGGAGACAGTTACCTACAAAGTAGTGCCCATCAGACTGTCAACTGATTTTTCAAAAGAGACCTTACAGGCAAGAAGAGGCTGGAATGAAGTATTCCAAGTCATGAAAGGCAAGGACCTACATCCAAGATCATTCTATACAGCAAGGCTATCTTTTAGAATGGAAGAGCAGATAAAGTGCTTCTCAGGCAAGGTAAAGTTAAAGGAGTTCATCATCCCCAAGCCCTTATTTTATGAAATGTTAAAGGGACTTATCTAAGACAAAAAAAGATAATAAACAAGTACAGTAAAATGACAGCAAACTCACAATTATTAACAACCACACATAAAAAAAAAAACTAAGCAAACAACTGGAACAGGAATAGAACCACAGAAATGGAGATCACATGGAGGGTTATCAATGGGAATGGGAGGAGGAGAGAGGGGGAAAAGGTACAGAGAATAAGTAGCATAGATGGCAGGTAGGAAATAGAGGAAAGGTAAGAATAGTATGGGAAATGTAGAAGCTAAAGAACTTATGACACATGGACATGAACTGAAGGTGGGGAATGTGGGTGGGAGAGGGTGTGCAGGGTGAAGGGGAGTAAAGGGAAAATGGGCCAACTGTAATAGTGTGATCAGTAAAGTATATTTAAAGAGATATTCAATGGAAACCTGTGTAGTAAAAAATACAGTTAGCATTTAGGAACCGTAAATATCAGATATCTCTTAATGAAAGGCTCTTGTACATATGTGAGGTCTTCTGGTATAGGTGGCCCCCATTTCATCATGTTCCTGCTCTGCACAAACATTCTATGTGAGGATCATAATGATGATGTGAAAAAAACTAATAATTGTCCTTTATGACTTTTGAAAGTCAAGAAGCTTGTTTCCTTACTCTATTTTGTATGTAGGTTGCTTCTCTCTGTCTCTTACTCCAATTTCCACATTATTTTTTCTCTGTAGTTTTTCAACTTTTGTTTGAAAGTTAAACACATTTTCTCTTGGATGATATTTTAATTACTGGGAGGTGGGTATTTCTTCCTGCTTTTATTTGCAAATGTACAGAAACCGAGTAAGGCTTGAGATGGTAGAGAGCCCTGACAGGAGGTGGGCCGAGAGCCAGGCTGTATTTCTGATTGGTCAGGGTCTTTTTATGTTGCTAAAGGTAAGAGGTGGCAGCTATTGATTGGTTACTGTATTTTCAGACAAAGAATGGCATGTGACAGGTAGATGTTTTTGCTTGTTTGTAATTAAATTAATGTTCACAAATGTACTGTCTCTACTTGAGTTGACTACAGTCAGAATTCTTGCCAGTCTTCCCAATTATCCAACCTCTTGACTTCCTGATTCTTAGTAGATGACTTTACCCCTCTTTTTTTTTTTTTAAGGTCTTATTTATTTATTTTATAGAGAGGGGAAGGGAGGGAGAAAGAGGGAGAGAAATATCAATGTGTGGTTGCCTCTTGTGCACCCCACACTGGGGACCTGGCCTGCAACTCAGGCATGTGCCCTGACTGGGAATGAAACCAGTGACCCTTTGGTTTGCAGGCCGGTGCCGAATCCACTGAGCCACACCAGCCAGGGCTTTTGCTTTTTTTTTTTTTTTGACAAAATTAAGGCCATCCAAATGAGTTCTTTTCAAATTCTCTTCCACCTAAGTTTCTCTTTCCCTTGGAACCCTTTTCTTGAGAAAGAAGTAACCTTACTTCCTTGACAAAACCAACCTTTCTGTTTGCTTTCATGTCAGTTGAACTTTTCCATGCTGTCTACAAACTTACTTGGTTGTTGTCATCCTAAATCTATTTTTTGAGCCTATCACCCGCTCTTGTTTTACTCAAGTTAATCTGAATACTCCCATCTTCACCCTTTCACAGTTATTCACTGTTTAAATTGCTCTCAGTCTAGTCCCAAAGTCATCTTTGGGGCTTTTTTCAAGTTGTTTTACGTCCCTTTCCCTTTTTCATTTTCTTAGGGGGTGCTCATCCTCTCAGCAAAACATTGCTTTTTTTTCCTTTGGCCCCTGACTTTTCCCATCTTGGTTCTGTTCTTGCTATTCTTGGCTTCTTGCTCTCCTTTTGACTCTGAAATAAACAAGATTTTATTCTAACCTTTTCTCCTTCTTTTTGGTGTTTTTGCAAATAATGCCACTGATTTCATTAATTTCTACTCCGGTGGCTTCCCAAATCAGTATTTTTAGCTCATGTTTGTCATAATTTCCAGACTTGACTTCCACCTATAGGTTTTATACACATCTACACAGATGTGTCTTCTATGCCCCCACCTGACAGGTCTAACACGCTATCCATCATTGTTCTATTTCTTGGGCCATCTCCTGTCTACCCGATATTTCTTCATCTGTGTGCCTTTCAATTCTCTGGACTCACAGCCTCTGTTGTCTCTTCACTCCCTTTCTTCTCCCTTCACATCCAGTGAGACATTAAATCCTATTGATTCTTCCGAGCTTTAATCTCCTGTGTCACTCTCCTCCCAACTCCCTTCTTTGCTTTTTTTCCTGGCGTGTGCCTTGTCAGGGTGAATTATTGTCATCCTAAGTTACCTCCCCATGCCTCATCTTCCTGCTTCCGCACCCTATATTACAGTTTTGAACACTTCACAGCTCCCTTAGGAAGCCTTGGGTTCTCCATATCTGCCTACTCCTTTCCCTTGGAGTCAGGTTCTCCTCTATCTGGTTCTGACCTGTTTTCCAGCATTATCTCCCAGTTGAGGTGAACTGAACATGTGCCTCATGCCTCCCTAGTTGTAACCTCCTGGAAAAGCATCTCCCATTGAAACCCTGTTTACCACAGGCACTTGCTTTTTTCCAGAAAGCCTCCTCTGCCACTCTTGGAGTCGTCTGGATTAGATAGTTAAGCTTCCATAGAGTTGAGGTATTATTCCTCTTTGTGGAGGAATAATTGTGTTCCCTGTTCCTCTCAGCGTAGAGTCTTGTGCAAAGATAGACTTACCCCGAGCTATTAACCTGAATACCATGGTATAAAATTACATGTGTATATGCATTTTGCTCACTGTGTTTTAATATCACCTCAGCATTCCCAGGAAATTTGGCTTACAGTATATTTTAAATTTTCAGGTTGAGGAGCTAGTGTAAATATTAGTTGAGTTATATGGGAAGAATTGTTATTTTTGGAAAGAGAAATGATTCTTTAAAAAAAATAAAGTAAATTTGAAGAAAAGTAAATTTTCTCATTCTCTATTCACAGCATAGATTTAATTCTTTCTAGTGGAACCAAAACCTCCTGAACCCCTTTCAGTACCTTGCAAAACTCGAACTTCCTCTATTTCTATATTTAAAAAAGAAATCCATTCACAAATGAGTTTTGTAATTTAGTCACTTTTTTTACTTCAAACTTTTTTTGTCAAAGTGAAATAGTATAACACGCACATTTCTTCTGTAATCTTATTTTTAAAAATTATTTATTTTTAGAGAGAGACAGACATTTTGTTGTTCCACTTATTTATGTGTATGCATTCATTGGTTGCTTCTGATATGTGCCCTGAACGGAGAGTGAACTCGAAACCTTGGCATTGTGGGATGAAGCTCTAACCAGCTGAGCTACCTGGCCAGGGCTCCTCTATACTCTTGATCTGCGATACCAGCTGTCATATTTATGAAATGTTTTGCTACCAAGCCAGAGCGTGGAACTACTCGTCCATAACACCCAGAAGGAAGAGCCATCTGAATGTCCGTTTCACAAGGGCTTTCTCTATAGGTGGTACTGTGGAGTCACAGGCACTATATAGGTCGTACCTTGCTCTTCAAGGACCCTATGGTCAGGGCCATGGTGTGCTCTGTGGTCCTTCTCTGTAGGCCAGGCCCAAATGCTGGAATAGTGGAGGGTATCTTCAGAGCAGGGCATGGCAGAGGGAGGACTTCAGCAGAGGGGACAAGATAGCTCAGGATGAGCACTTGGAAGAAATGTTTTTATAGTGATTCTTAATGGTAAAACCATAGAAAGGGACCCATGTCAGAAATATAGTTGCTGTTAGCATACGCCTGTGGTTTTGTAATTTTAATGCCCAAACCAGCAGTTTTGCCATCACCTAGGAGCTTGTTAGAAATGCAGACCCTATTGCAGGGATGTCAAACTCATTTTCACTAGGGGCCACATCAGCCTCGAGGTTGCCTTCAAAGGGCCAAATGTAATTTTAGGACTGTATAAATGCAACTCCTCCTTGACAGTTAAGTGAGAGTTGGGCTCTGCGCTGGATAAAACAAGGTGGAGGGCTGGATGTGGCCCTCGGGCCTTGTGTTTGCCACCTGTGCCCTATTGGATTAGTTCTGGGAGAGGATCCCAGTAATCTTTTGTTTTAACCCATCCTCCAGGTGATGCTGATACCACTCAGGTTTAGAATATTTAGTCCACAAACCTGTAGTTAAGTTATCATGCTTTTTAAAAAAAATGACATAATAGGTCAGTACCAACAGGGTAAGTACCCTTTTAAAGTATATAGTTCAGTGGTTTTTATTATTTACAAAGTTGGGCAACCATCACTATTGTCTCATTCTAGAACATTTTCATCACCCCAAAGAGAAACCTTTTACCCATTAGCAGTCAATTACCAGTCCCTTGCAACCACTAATCTACTTTCTGTCTCCATAGCTTTGCCTGTTATAGGCATTTTGTATAAATGGAATCAGACAATGTTTGGCCTTTTGCGTTTGTCACTACGTTTCCAAGGTTCATACATACTGTAATGTGAATCAGTACTTTACTTTTTAATGTTGAATGATATGGCATTGTATGTAATACACCACATTTTGCATACCCATCCATTCATTAGTTGATGGACATTTGGGTTTCCAGTTTTCGGCTATTATGAATAATGTGGCTGTTAGTGTATGTGTAGTTTTTTTGTGTGGACACATATTTTAATTTTTCTTGTAATTTCTGGGTCATATAGCAACCCTAATTTTTTGAGGAACTAGAAAACTGTTCCAAAGGAACTGTGCCATTTTTCATTCCTATCAGCAGTGTGTGAAGATTCCAACTTTTCCACATTCTTACCAACACTTGTCATCTCTCTCTCTCTTTCTCATCTCTGGTTTTAGATTATAGCTTTGCTAGTGGTTGTGAAGTGGTATCTCATTGTGGTTTGATTTGCATTGGAATCATACATTTTTGTGCTATAGCTTTAAGTTGCTTTTTTCATTATATACACTAGTTGCCTTTGATTATTCTAGATTGCTTATGTAGTGTATTCCTTAAAGTGGAAGTTTGGGGAGGACAGGTATAGGTAGGTCGGTAGAGTGGTTTAGAGTTTGCATCATTTTTTCTTTAATCCTTGCCTGAGGATTTGTTTATTGATTTTAGAGAGAGAGGAAAGGGAGATAGAGAAATATCAATCGGTTGCCTCCCATGCGTGCCCCAACCAGGGATTGAATCCGTGTCCTAGGTATGTGCCCTGACTGCAGGTGAAACCTGCAACCTTTTGGTGCAGGGGACGGTGCTCCAACCAACTGATCCACCCGGCCAGGGCCACATCCAGTTTTTGCAAATATTTTGCTTCAACTTGTGTTTATCTCTGTGCATTTCAGGGTGGTGGCCTTGTCCATGTCACCTGTGGATGACACTTTCATTTCTGGGTCTCTTGATAAGACCATTCGACTCTGGGATCTCCGATCTCCTAACTGCCAGGTAATGGTACTTCACAGTTACACAGTGTTTTCTATGATAGGCACTATCATCAAGTCCCTCTCAAGGAAGGGAGAAAGCAGTGGTTCCATTGCTTTCCAGCACTGCCTCAACCAGTAGAATCCCAGTCTTTTAAAACTTTGGAGAAAATCAGATTTCCTGGTAGGTAGCTGGTAATTAAGCAAATGCCCTTAATCCATTGCATATTTCATTTTGCTCTGTGGCTTATTGCTTTAAAAAAGTTTTCCAAGAGCCTTTTAGCCTCAAGGAATTTTTTACTTAGAATTCATTATCTATAAAATTGTACAGTTGGGGTTGATCTGAAATCAGTTGTATGGAGATGTTTTTCAAAAGCCTCATTTTAGTTTTACTTTTTCAGACTTGTAGGTAGGCTGGTGTCTGTGTCCCTTAGTTTTCTCTGGGAAAAGTAAATTTTGTAGGTGTAGGATCCTAGGTTCATTAACTTTTTTTCTTATTTCTTTTTTCTTAGGGCCTCATGCATTTACAAGGCAAACCAGTTTGTTCTTTTGATCCAGAAGGGTTAATTTTTGCTGCAGGTGTCAATTCTGAAATGGTCAAACTTTATGACCTTCGCTCTTTTGATAAGGTACATTTTTGAATTTTTAAGCTATCTTGGTATTATGGAAGTTTTGAAGGATAAGATGAACATTTAAGAACCTTTTCTATGGTAGAAGAGATATGTGGTAGATATTGGAAAGGGTCCTATCAGTAATTAATCCTCTGTTTTCTCTAGTGAAAAAAGGAATCTAAAGGGATGGAATAAGAATTGGCTCTGGTAGAAGGAATTATTGATGTGCCTTGGGCCTGGGGTTGCTACGTTTATCTTTTGCAGGGGCCATTTGCAACGTTTAAGATGCAGTATGATCGGACTTGTGAGTGGACAGGACTTAAATTCAGCAATGATGGCAAACTCATCCTCATCTCCACCAACGGCAGCTTTATCCGTCTCATCGATGCATTTAAGGGAGTGGTGATGCACACGTTTGGGGTGAGCTGACAACCTTTCAGCATGGCTGTTCCCATGTTCCTCATGTGCTGAGAATTGCATTAGCTGGTTAGTGGAGATGAGCAGTGTTATCCTTGACTCACTGATCAAGACATGGGCTTGCATTTTCTTCCTGCTCGTGAATGTATTTCTCTTGGATTCTAAGACATTCACTTCTTACCCAGTGACCCAAGTTTTTAGATGTAAAATAATTCCTGACCATAAATGTTTTCTTGCCCTCTTGAATATGGAGTTGGGGATGTGCAGTGAATTGTATAGGGTAGTGGCAAAGTCTAGAACCTTGGTAGCACTGTGCATGAGGAGAGGGCTTCACCAAAATGGGGGTGATGAGTCTGTTGGGTCACTGTTTCTAGGCAGTTACTTTTTGTTAATGACACTTTGACCAGGGAACTGTTCTGATTTTTTTAGGGTTATGCCAACAGCAAAGCTGTCACATTGGAGGCCTCATTTACGCCAGACTCCCAGTTTATTATGATCGGTAAGTGTCCTTTATCTCCTTTGGGGGTTATTTTTCTGCTACTGAGATTTCATTTATATTATTTTTGTTAGGTCCCCCCCCCCATTATTTATTTATTTTTTAGAGAGGGGAATGGAGGGAGAAAGAGAGGGAGAGAAACATTAGTGTGTGGTTGCATCCCGTGCACCCCCTACTGGGGACCTGGCCTGCAACCCAGGCATGTGCCCTAGATGGGGAATTGAACCTGCAACCTTTTGAATTGCAGGCCGGCACTCAGTCCACTGAGTCACACCAGCTGGGTCTATTTTTGTTAGTTTTAACCAAGCTATTATTTACTATCCTTTTGTTAGATGTTCTTAGATTTCTGTGTAGCACAATATGCTAAAAGTATAGTGTCTAAACTGTTCTGACTTTGCAGTTCTTTACTGGGAACTGGCATTAATGTTGGTCTTTCCTGGACTAGCTTTAGAGTTAAAACTCTGTAAGCACTATCTTACTATTAATACTAACTTCCTGATATAATCCTGCTTTCAGTCATCTTAAAGGCTGCATGTTGGTAGTGTAATGATATTCAGTTCTCATTTTCAATGAGAAAACTGGAGTCAGAGGGGAGGTGACTTGCCCAGGAACAAATAACTAGGGTCAAGATCATTCTCCAAAGTGTCTTTTTTTCACTGCCTTTCTTTCCTTCCTCTCAATTTCTGCTAATGACTGGGTTCTGAAACATAGCCTCTTTACAGGTGTCAGTTTTTCTTTGTTTTTTTCCCTCTTGTCTTTGTATTGTGCCTTGAGCTGTTGTGTGTTCCTTGATCATTCTCTTCAGGTTCAGAGGATGGCAAGATCCATGTCTGGAATGGAGAGAGTGGTATAAAAGTAGCTGTGTTGGATGGCAAACATACAGGCCCCATTACCTGTTTACAGTTCAACCCCAAGTTCATGACCTTCGCCAGTGCATGTTCCAACATGGTATGTGAACAATGGGAGATGTCTTTCATTTGGGTCGTGGGTGTTTCAGTGAGCACAGCAAGCTATGTTCTAAATAGGTACGTTATAAGCACCCAAGTTCATGTTTCTCAACTGGTTGCTTCAGTGTTTCACCTCTTACTCTCTCATCTCCGGTTGGGCTGGCCTTTCACTTTTACTCTTAAATCTGAGATCACCTCTGAGCTTCTGGGAGATCATAGGCCAATTTTAGCTCTAGCTTCTGGTTTTATGCCCAAACTACATGGGCTATGGTTGACAGCTTTTTGGCTTCTTAAAATACTTTGAATAGGCCTTTTGTGGCTGCAACCTTTCAGTTTTCCATTTTGTCAGTTTCTGCTGAATTCCTCAGAATTTTTCACAGTTGATCATAACTCACCACTTAGAATTTTCTCTAGGCCTGGTCTCTTTCAGATAGCGCTAGGAGAACAAAGCATCATGAGTCTCAGCTTCCAATTTCCTCTTGGAATCTTCTAAACCTGCATGGGTATTTAGAGATGAGGCACTTTACAACTAGTCTACCCAGAACACATCTCTCCTTCCCCTTCTACCTTTAACTAAGAAAACAGTGTCAGAAAAAAAAATGCAGCAAAACCATTCTTTTTACGACTTAGGAAGGTGAGGGCCTGTTTGAGGTCTCCTGGTGTATTACCAGTGGGGCCAGGTTGCCCACACCCCCATCTCCTGGACAGCACTCCTTTTTTCCCTTGCCACTGGGCCCTATGGTAGAAAGTAGACAGTGTTGGAGGAAAACAGAACTAGTTTGCTTTTACATGAAGCAGTGTTTCTCTATAGATTGCCTGAGTCAGTCAGTCTGTTGGTTGGTTGGCAGGGAGGGCCACCAGCTATAACTGTTCTACCATTGGGGTTGGGCAACTTGATGTTGTGGGAAGGAATAAAGAACCCTCAGCAGTTAAGAGAGAGGCTTGGCTAAATTGACTTGTCTTGTTCTTTTTCCAGGCCTTCTGGTTGCCCACCATTGATGACTGACCCTGATGCTGTTCTGCTGTTCCTGTACAGTGAGGGTGGCCAGCAGGAAAAGAACCAGACTGAGATAATAGTGCTGTTGGATCATTTCACTGGGCTGGAGAGCATCCTTCGACATGGCCTTCCCATGGATGTGCTGTACCTCTGCTCAAAAGAAAAAATACTTTGCCAAGCTTCTTCAAAAGGATTCTTGGTGCAGCATTTTTAATTGGGACAGATTTTCTAGTTGTCAACTGCACCGAGCTCCTCCAGAGGAATGACCAGACTCATGATTAGGGTATAGTGAGGCCTTTAAGGCACCTTCAGTTTTGAATGTATTTGCTGCTGAGGAGCCGGTAAAGTTATTAATTCTGCACATCCCTTCTCCCACCCCTGTAAATGCATGGGAAGCCACAGTTCTGTTTTTGAAATGCTAGAGCAGCTCAGTGCCCCTTGCCCTTACTCTGCATGTCTTGTTCTTGGGTTTCTCTGTGTCATTGTGGTATAACCCACAACCATCATGTTACTTAGGTGCCAAACATTTACAGAAGTAAGTCTTCATGTATCTTGGGGTCAAAAAGGGACAGATGCAGAAAGATCTTGCTTGCCAGGAAGCCTTGCAAGTTAGTCATTTGAGTGTGGGTGATCTAGACATGCCTCAGGCTCTGGGTTTTGGGTGGGAAAAGGCTCAAGAGTTTGAAAGGGAGGGACAGGTAGCAGATGAGCTCCTAGGGCTGGGGTGTTTAGCAGTAACCTAGTGTGGTCTCTTTTCATCAAGACAAATCGATAGTGGTCCTGGGTGCCTACCCGGTGTGGTGGTGTACAAAAGCAAGGTGGGAGTCTATTTTTGTACAAGATACATCACACTTTCCTGTGGGCCAGTATTGTGGAGTGAGTCTGAGTTGTTTACACTGATGCCTTCCCTGCCCACCACAAATTGTGTACATAGTCCCCTGATGATACCACCCCCTTCCCCAGCCCCCAACCATGAGCTGGCTCTAGGCCTGTGTTATATGTTATGTTTAGTATTTTTATATACGACCTGGGATTTCTGTTGTTTGTATTTTAGCACAGTGTGTACGCCATCATTTAAATATATCTGTGTATGTGCATACATATATATGTGTGTATGCACATATATATATATATGCATTTATAATATGCATATATATATATATATATAAAATACCTGTTGTTTTCAGAGATTAGCTGAAGGACATGGAGTTCTGCAGCCCGGGGGAAAGACTGTGTTCTTGCTAATAGTGTTTGCCACAAGTGTTAGTAAGTCTTCCCTATTACATTTCTTTTTTTCCTTCAGGAGACTGAATGAAGCAAAGCTTCAAGTGTTTGCTAATCCCACGGCAGCTAAGTGAGGGTCTTGGGATGACTCTCGTGTTCCTTAAGCCGCACTTTGGGGCCCTCTGTGCAGTATTAGCCCCTCTTTTGCTTGGTGATGCTCTGTCTGCACCTATATATGTGTGACAGTCACTTTTGCATGCCTTCTGTGTCTGGCTTACAGTATTTGGGGACAGAATGCTGGAACCAGGCCATTTTCAGTTTGTCTGAGGCTTCTTTACCAATTATAGGTCACTTCTGTTTACCTCTTATGTCTGCTTTCTTCTTTTCTTTGCCTTCTCCTGGGAGAGGGGTGGGTCCTGATCAGGGTTGAGTTGAGCTATGGCTGGCTTATGGCTTTTTCCTCCCCTGCATGGCCTTCTTAGAGCAGGATGAATTGCATGTCTTTTCACTAAATTCCCAAACGTTTAAGCAGGTTCCCTGCACATCCAGAAACAGCCTAAACAAGGTTATAACTTGTCTAAGAGGACTTGCCCAAGTGCATAGCTGCTAGGGGGAAAGCAAGCCATTACTGCCTCTGTTCAGCAGCAGGAATAGGCCATTGATTGCAAGCAATTACTGTTTTGTTTTAGTAATTACTTTTTATTTTTAATCCTCATCCAAGGATATGTTTATTGATTTTAGAGAGAGGAAAGGAGAAAGAGAAACATTGATTTGTTGCCTGTAGGTGCCCTGACTGAGGATCAAACCCACAATCTGACCAGGGATTGAACCTACAACCTTTTGGTGTATGGGATGATGCTCCAACCAACTGAGCCACCTGGCAAAGGCAGCCATTATTTTTTGACTTCTTCCTCAAACTTGAAGGTCAAGGGGCATGTATGCATCTTTCCCAACATGACTAGAACCTGTAGCTTCTGTGATATCCACTGTTTATAGCTCTGCCATCTCAGAGTAGGGGGACTTGTAGAAACCAACTAGTCTGAGCTGTTAACTCGCACTCCTGGCTTTCCAGGGTAGAAAATTCATGGTAGGAAAACTGTTTAGAGTACTTGGAACTGAGTTAACAAGAAAACCTGCTTAATTAACATCTATAATGAGGGCAGCCACCAAGCATGACTTGTCTGTTAGCAAGAAAATGATTTGTATTTAGCTGTTTGTCCAAAGCTGAGATACCACGTCCTTTAAAAATGTGCACTGCACGACCTCTGTTTATGGGGACCCGTGGCTGCAGAGTTGGGAAGGAAAGGGAAAAGATGCAGCTGGAAGTGACTGGAGATGATGTGTGGTGGGAATGTCAGAATAAAGGGAGAAAAAAGGCTGTGGGCCAGAGAGGCTGAGGGCTGGGGCTGCAAGGATGCTCTCAGTGGGAGCCAGAGGTGCTTGAGTGCTCGGTGGGAAGGAACTCACCACTCCAGTCAGGGCCAAAGCCACCGACTTGTATGTGACAGTAACACTGCACTACTCAGCCATCAGCCAGTGGGTTATTTTTTTAAGGAAAAACTTCCCTGTTGCAATTATAATTAATGCTTATTAAAAGAAAATTTGAGAATTTTAAAAAGAATCAGTTTGCCACCCAAATGCTACCACTGTTAATCTTTTGGTGTTAAATGTTCCTCTAGACACTTCTGTGTGTAGATTTCTGGTGTGTTTACATAGTTGTTATTCTACTGTATATACAATTTTATGTTCCTTTTGTACTTAACATAAACATTTTTTTCCATGTTATCTGTCTTAAACAGAATTTTATGGCTGCAGCCTCTTCCATTGAGTTTCTGTAGCATTGTTTCTTGGTTCCAGGAGTTGGAGGGAAGGATGGGTTGTTTCATGGCTCAACCTGGGACTTGCTGTAATGCTGTGTGGATGGATGTTGGGATCCCTGGGACTGTTCCTGACTGGCTGGTGACTAAGGCTTATGGGCTGGTGGGAGAAACATCTAGACTCATGCCTCAAACCCTGACCTCTAATAAGCAACCATATAGTCAGAAATGAGTGACCGGGAAAGGCCAGCCTGAGCCAACCTTGATTGTCAAAGATGGCACCTGGCATGTACTTCAGGCCGCATTTCATCCCCACTGTTACCTCAGCCCTTGATCAGATTGGCAGCCTCTAGCTGGAATAAGTAAGAGTTGTCCTAGGCCCTGGCTTCTGCGGGGGCAAGAATAGTGGTACCTCTCTTAGGCTCCTATGCCAGTTCTGGCAGAAGGTCCAGCCAGTTGTTCGGTTGCCCATTGCCTGGCTTGTGAGTTGATAACTACTAAAGCCTATGATCTAGCTCTGTCTTCAAAGCTACAAGGACCTGATGTCTGCCTCATTCCTGGCTTTGGGCCCATCACTTTGTCCACTATCATTGGAGGTTGGCCAAGGGCTCTGAAGGGCAGCAGAGGGAACATGCCAGCTTGTGAGTGGTAGACCATGCATAGGCTCTTCTGAGACATTGCTCAAGGAGGAAGAGACCTCACAGCCTGGTGGCAGGGCTGCCACAACACTTGGCTCTGCTAAGACATGAACACATAGGTGAGTATAGCCACCCCTGCTGCAGTCATTCCTGCCAGCTTGGCTTGCTTGCAGTTGAGAGACCCACTGCACCCACTCACTGGGCTTCAGCCTGTTATGAGGAGCAAACTCTCTGGAGATGAACTGGCTCAGCTGTTAATGTGGGTGAGGTGCAGGTACAGGATGCTGCCCATGCTTTTGGGGGAGGGTCGGGGAGACTGCTGAGGAAAGAGGAAGTGAAACTCCTGCAGGCTACTTGAGCATACTGCATTTGCCAGTTGCCTAACCAGAGGAGTCCTGTGTAGGCTGTCCAGGGCTGCTGGGGCTGACCATAGTTTGTCAGGACCCAGCTGTGGACAGGTGTAGGTGCACTAGTGCTGGGCTGTGGAATATGACTGCAAAAGGAGAAACTGTAGTTTTTTTCAATTTCCTTCCTAAAGAATGTACAGAATAAAATGAATTAAAGGTAGGAAAGGACACCTGAGTCTTCTCAATGAATTTACCATCAATTCTGGGCCCTATTGGCCCTTGTCCTTCCTAGCTGCAATCTAGGACTGTCGGTTGCCTGGTAAGAACTTATCTCAACTGTAAATAAACCAAAGTAGTGAATCAGGGAGAAGTTGAGTAAGGCTGAGGTCATGAAAGTGATTGCTTTGTAAATGAATAAACACTTTCTAAGCACTTGAGCCTTGGCAAGTGCTAGATGGTAAAACAGTCTTGTGGAGAAGGTGAGGAACTGAGCTGTTCATCAAAATGCAAGCCCTGGAGCTTTGCATTCAAAAACAAGTTAAAGGGCAGTTCTTTGGACACCTCAAGCCCAGAACTCACAGAGGGCTGTGGAGACCTTTCTGTTCGACAGGCAACAATCTTCTCACTGGGGCTCACCCCAAGCTAGGAACTAGGGAGGTCCCAGAGAAAAAACATGGTGCCGACTATAAGCTTCCAAGGTGGAACTAAGACATTCTTTGCAAGGCAGAGAAGAGCAGAAAGTATACTGTAATGCCAAGCTATATAGCAACTCACAATTCACAAGGGCTTTTCTGCACACAAACATTTAATCGGGGAGGAGATGGGGAGCAATAGAACAAAGGCATTATTAGGGCATCAACCTAGGGTGGGCCTAGGGCCTGGAGGGAGCAATTGGGATGCAAGTCCAGAGGCAGGGGTACCAATTGGAGGGAATTCCCCACTCAGCCAACTGGGGCTCCTCTTGCCCCTTTTCTCCAACTTTAGCCTCAGGGCCTGCTTCAGGATGGCTGTTCAGCAGATGAGGCTGCCCATGACTTCCCATAAGTTTCCCTGGATGAGTTTTGGCATTGTTAAGTAGATACCCTGACATTCATGGAATGGAGACTTGGATCTAAACGTAGGCTATCTGACCCTCCCAGCATTCTTGGCGAATTCCTTTAGTCTGGCTGTCCCCACTTGGGAATAATATACTGGACTGTTAAGGATTCTCTCTGAAGAGCCTCCTGTGGGTGTTCTAAGTTATAAACTGCCTGTCAGAGGGACATTATCATTGACATAAGCACTTTCTCTGCCTGCCAGAGGAGGGACCTGGGGAGCTGGGTTCTCTGCACTGGTCAGCTCTGACTGCCTGGTATAAATGTTCCCCTTGAAATGGGTTGGGAGGGAGAACAAGAGCTCTGGGCTATGTCTGGCGGTAGGGCAGGCAGACCTGTTGTTCACAGTTGAGAGATGCCCAGACTGCACCTGGTCCTGAGTGGTTCAGGGATGCGGTGTCAGAATCCTCAGTGGCGACTGTTACTTTGGCCCTGGCTGTTCAGGGGAATCACGAACACAGAAATGTCGTCGTAGGACACCTGCCCTTCCGCTGTGAGACTGTTGTCCTTCCCTTGTGTGCTGTGTATCAGCATTCGGGCCAGCTCTGAGAACCTGTGGGGACCATCCTGCAGATGTACTCCAAGGGTCAAAGCAAAGAGGCAAGGCCAGCCCTCAGGGAGAACTCAGCACTGGGCTAGACATTTGGGGACCCAAGCAGTTCAACTTGGGGCCAGGCAAACTGCAAGCCTGGGAGGGCCACAGAGTGTATCACAGGAGTCTGGACCCAGAGATTTATGGGACCCATAATCACGCCCACCCTAGGAATCTTGAAAGCACACTAATCTTGACCACCTGCTCTTAGATGAGCTCATCGTCAGCACTGTCTTCTCAGCCATAACTATTGACTTGGTGTTGCTGCTGGCACCCAGGCCCAGACAGGTCCCCAGAAGTTATAGTACCTATGTGGATCCTCTCGATTGCCAGGGAGGAAGCTCCGCACTATTCGTGCCACCTGCTCATTGGACAAGACATCCCAGAGCCCATCAGTTGCCATGACAACCACATCTTCCTCCTGCAGCTCCAACTGGTCCATATCCAGCACTGTCACCTGCAAGTTAAGTTTGAGGATCCCTCAGTGTTCTCTTCCCAGCTCCCACCAGCCTCACTGTCTGCCTTTCTGGGCAGATGGAAGCTGGGGTGGGCTGTTGCCCTCTCACCTGTGGGACAGAGAGCAAGAAGGGCTTGAGCTGAATGTTTGTGTCCAAGACTCTGAGCTGATGGTCTCCCAGGCCCCGGGAGACGGCCAGTGTTCCCAATAACCGAGCCTGGGGACAAGGGAGATGTGAGGTGACAGCAAAAAAACCCAGCAAATGGACAAGTAAAGCATAGAGGCGGACTGTGGCCCTCAAGCACTCTGGGCCTTGGAGCAGTCCCCAGGACGCCAGCCATAGCCGCAAGACACAAAGGAGCTCCTACCTCTGCAGGGGGCAACTGAAGAGTGAAGAGAGATTCTCAAAGGGGGGCCACTCACTGACCTGCCTGCCCTGTCCATGGATCAGGGGGTACTTGAGATCCGACTTCTCCACACACTTGTAGCTCCTACCACAAGCAGACGCAGCATCAACTCAGGCCCTACTTCCCACCTCATTTCCCCTCAACACAGGGCCCACCCTGCTCCGGTGGAAGGGGACTGTCCTGGGCCACACGGATGGGCTTGTGCCCCATGGTTCTCCCCACTGTATCCCTCCACCCCCACCTTGCTCACCAGCCGCTCATGTGGTGATCCCTGAACAAAACCTTCTGCCCCAAGTCATCCCCCTTCAGTCGCCGAGGGAACTCCAGTCGGGTGAATTCACCACCCAGAAGCTCAGGGTAGACAAAGGCCTGGGGTAGGGATGCCATACTCAGATCAGGTTCTCTCTGGTAGCTCTGGACCAAGGAGTTGGGGCTCCACAGCCTCTGCCAAGGGCACTTACCAGCTGCTGGATCCGCTGTCGCTCAGTCTCTGGGGTGAACTCAGAGCTTAGAGGCCGTACCTCATCTCTCTGCACCAAGATGGCCCTGGATGGAATTGCGGAGGGGAGGGAGAGGTCTGTGGTGTGGCCTCCTACTGGCCCCGCCTCCAACCACCAGGTGCTAGCTCTGCCCATACCAATCCCTTGTTCAAAACCCTCCATTATTGTCTGCAGGGTAAAGGCTCAGTCCCTTCAGCTTGTGCCCTCCCTGGCATCTGCTGTCCACTCATACTCCATACACGCCAGGTATACAAATAACTCAGCCAGTCAAGCCTCCCCATTTCCATCCTTCCACTTATAGCCCCTTTCAATGTCCCCACTGCCTCTGGTGCCTGCCTGCCCACCTGCCCCACTCTCCAAAGCTCACTCACCTGCTATCTCCGGCATTGGCCACATACAGCTTTCCCTGCAGGGACACAGCCACCAGGGCTGTGCAGCCGCCCACCTGGCCTGAGGCCTCCAGCTCCCGCCCGATCATCTCATCCTGGGGCAAACCGAGGTCACTTTAGCAGCTGCTTTTGCTGCCACAATATCACTCTATCCCTGATCCCCACCCTGTAGTTCATTTCCCCACCAACAAGCCTGGCAGTCCCAGCCCAAAGTCTAGTTATGACTCCAGGACCCAATGGTCAGATCTGGATGTATCCCTTAGGAGGGAGGGAAGTCCTTTTCAAAACAGTGAGGAAGGGGAACCAGCCCCTGCACCAAGGAACAATAGGGTGTGCAATGACATAATGCAGGTAAAAGCACATAGCACATAGTAGGCACTGAATGAGAGGGTTTATGATGACAATGATGGTTGTTAGTAAAGAACGAACCAACCCAATCTTGTTTTGCCATTTCAAACATCAAGGGTGACCACCACTGTGTACCGGAATGCCCCATAGCCCGGAGTCCCTCAGGTCCCTGGGGACATAACCCTTCACTCCTTCCCCAGTCAAAGGCCACA